GGGAAAAATGGCCTTCTACTATTGTTTCACTGGTAGAAACCCCCACTGGATACAGAAACATCATAAATATGATTGATGCAATTGGATGCAAGCCACAGGTTAAATGGATTTCAGATTAAGGTAAAATATTGTAACTGGTTACTTGATTATATTTTTGTTCTCTTGATTTCTGTAATTCTTTTACATTTATAAATGGAAATTAATAAACATGTAATTATATATACAAAATAAAGTACACATTTTTCCAGAATGCCTTTAGTGCATCTAAGAGGGATGCAGGGAGGGGAATCTGAGTTAGCAGCATCAGGGAAAATATATGAGTGAGAGCTTAACAACAGAAATTCATTTTTTTCAAAATACAGAAATATTGCTAGGGATATTCAACTTATTTTTCTATTGTTCAGTCAAGTGTTTCTTGCCTCCCCACTGAGCACATCGTGTTCAGTCCTCAATGCAAATAGATTCAGTTCCAATTCATTTCATCCCCATGTTTTACTTATTTGTTTCCAGCAGAGCCTTTCTTCCAAAGCCAGATATCAGTTCCCTTTCCTTCATTGCTTTTTAGTTTTTCATTTCTTCATTTGCCCGCTGCAGAGGTGAATGAGACAATCTATCTGTCAATAAGGTAGATTTGAATAAAATGCTATTTATTTGGAATGATAATAGCAAATGCCATTAAAACTTCATTTAAAAAGAACTTGCGTGGGGCGACACTGATTAGTTTTGACCTTTGGAAATGGCCACACAAGTCATGGCTGATTTTATTATGTAAACAAACCCCAAGTATATCTTTTCTGCATTCATCTTCTTCCTTTTTTTATATGTGCTAAGGCTCGTTGCTATCCAGATCTTCTCTGAGTTGGATACAACCTATAGATTGCTAATCATCCACTTTAGGGTATATTTTATATGAGATGTTCTCTTAAGGACTCATCAAAAAGGCTATGCAGAACAACTGTATGAAGAGTCAGCTCATGGTAGTTCAAATCTTAGTGGTCCTTTCTGCATTTAGAGGTCACAAAAGTCAGCCTCAGCCATCTATACTGGGCTGGTTGTAGTCTTTAGTTGGTGGAGCAAGAGCATCTCTCCCCTCCACCACACAGATAATATTACATGCCATTCTGGCATTCCATACCTCTACTGAATCACCCAACTCTTTGACATGGATAGTTATCCCCCTTTTTTAAAGGGTAGGAATTGGTGAATGGGGCATCAGCATTATCAGATGTCCATTTGGAGTGCCCACAACCATGGGCAACACCCCCCTATCCTGCTGTAAACAAAGTGGGTAACATTTTGGGCAATGCTTTTAAGGGGGCAGGTAAAAGTATTGAAGTTTTGGAATTTAAGATTGATGGCCTGCCAATTTCAAGGCATCCAAACAATTTATCCTAACACCCTCCATTGGGACAGATTTCCTTCAATAGTTAATATTTTAAAATAGATCATATAGTGTTTGTTTGTTTGTTTGTTTGTTTGTTTGTTTAAAATCTAGAATTTATACACTGCTTGATTGTAAAACAAATCTCAAGGCAGCGTTATCCAATGACTATCCATATTTCCTACACCACCATTGTGCTGTTACTTATGATTATCTTATTGCCATCATTGGAAGCGTCCTGTGACAATCCAGCCTGACTTATGGCTTAGTCTGGCATCACATATCTTCATGATGCTTGGGGGAATCCTCATCTACATAAACCCACCTGTGTGACCAATCAAGTACCTGCATTCATTTTTATGAAGGGCCTTATCTGCAGTGTCCCCAACATTGTGCAATGATCTGCTGGCTGGTAAAAACATATGTGTTCATGTGGGCATCCCTGGGCACTTATCCTTAGTACCAACTTTACTGAACTCTGGATATTTCAGTTCATGTTTTATTGTTATTTTATTGTACTGTTTTTGTTTAGTAAACCTTGTTATTTTTCCACAATGAAAGGTGGGACTATAAATAATTCTAAACAATAGAACGCAACTAGATTGTGGATAGTATGGGTACTTCTTTCGCCATATTTAGTCAATAATTTATTATCCACTTTGTTCCTATGGCCTTCATTGCTCCATCCTAGACAGCAGATCCATCTCAATTTAGGACACTTCTATTTAAATCCAGACTTAGTGTCTTTCTTTTGACAAATGACTAAGAAGTTGGAAGAATGTGGAGAGCTTTCCTACAGAGTTTGGGGATTTCTTATCACCATAAGAGTCTGGGCAAATGTTAGCATAATATGATAAAGTGCTTGGAAAGTTTGTGGTTCCTCTACCCCAACCAGGAGATTGCTTCCCTGTTTTTCATTAGCTTAGATTTTCTGCCTCTCTCTTGTGCCCCAACTTCCTCCCATCAGAAATGACACCCTCCCTGTGGAATACCCTCCCATCAGATGTCAAGCAGATAAATAACTATACAACTTTTAGAAGACATCTGAAGGCTGCCCTGTATCAGTAAGTTTTTAATGTTTGATGTTTTATTGTGTTTTTATATGTGTTGCAAACCACCCAGAATGGGTGGGGCAACCCAGACAGATGGGTGGGGTATAAATAAAAAAGTTGTTGCTGTTTACAGCAACGCATAATGATTGAGTGCCCCTGCCCTCCCATTTTGGCTTCATTTTGGGAGCCAGTGTGGTGTAGTGGTTAAGAGGAGTGGACTCGTAATCTGGTGAACCGGGTTCGCTTCCCCGCTCCTCCACATGCAGCTGCTGGGTGACCTTGGGCTAGTCACACTTCTCTGAAGTCTCTCAGCCCCACTCATCTCACAGAGTGTTTGTTGTGGGGGAGGAAGGGAAAAGGAGAATATTAGCAGCTTTGAGACTCCTTTGGGTAGTGATAAAGCAGGATATCAAATCCAAACACTTCTAATTGGACTTGGAAAAACAGAGCTGGAAAATAACCTAGGTAATTCTGAGCCCACTTGTGGGCCACATCGGAGGTTGCCATGCCCTCAATGATGTTGTCCAGGGCATAACAGAAACACAACCCTCTCTCAGTGAGCTTCCTCATCAAGGAGATGCATAAAGATAAGTGTTGAACAGAATTAGAGCTCAAATGCAAAGATTATGTAGTTAAGGTGCTATACACTGAATGTGTGGATGATACTGCTTGGACTGGGGACTTCTTGACTGGCTCCATCAGCTTGACCATCAGGCTTCCAATCCAAAACTAGATAATTTCTGCCCTGCCAGTTTATCATCCCCTGCCTGATACTGCTACCACTACTGAGAGCCTGTGTGGTGTAGTGGTTAAGAGCGGTAGTCTCGTAATCTGGGGAACCGGGTTCGCTTCCCCGCTCCTCCACATGCAGCTGCTGGGTGACCTTGGGTTAGTCACACTTCTCTGAAGTCTCTCAGCCCCACTCACCTCACAGAGTGTTTGTTGTGGGGAAGGAAGGGAAAGGAGATTGTTAGCTACTTTGAGACTCCTTAGGGTAGTGATAAAGCGGGATATCAAATCCAAACTCCTTCCTTCCTTCCTTCTCCCTGACCCACAAAACACAATCCCTCCATCTTCCCGGGTGCTCCTAGGCTTAAGGCCCAGTGCATGCATACCTGAGTTGGCAAGAGATTTGTGCATGGTCTAAGCACATGAGGTGGAATTCAGTGTAGCGCTAAGTGGGGAATGCATGTGGAGAACTTGGTCCACTTGTACAATTGGATTTTTCCATCCTTTTCTCCAAGAAGGCCACTTCCGCCTAAGGTATTGGCAGTTAGGCATTGGTATTGTTCTGTAGATGGAAGAGGGGAGGTAGCGCCATCACCTGCCCCAGATATTGAAGAGTAGTCCATTAAAGGATTTGGGGGGTTATGGCCCTGTCCGAAGCCTAAGGAGGTTAGGGCCCAAGGCATGCCCCCTAGCAGTGACCCCAGGGGTGTTCCTAGTTGATGTGCATCAGCAGCACTCCCCCTACTGGTGGTTAACCCTTCCCGGACTTCAAGCAGACGGGCTGGAGTCAGATATAGTCGGTTAGGACCAATGCCTAAGCCAATACCGCTCTTCACCTGTAACCAATAAAGTTGTGGCCTTTTTTTAGCCCATTAACCTTGATAATTGTGTCATGTGTCATTATTTCCACCTGGGGGGGTCGGGAACTCACCACACAACATGCTCCCTTATTCCATGTACACAACAGCTTAGTTGAATCCTGCCCATTGAGTCTGACTTTTCACAAATGTCCAATTACATTTTTTTTAAAAAAATGGCCTCCATGGGATTGAGTAATCATGCAAAGTCCCCAACCTACAAGCGACAGAATCTCTTTAGTGGACTGGGCAGAGGGCACCCATGTTGCTCCACCATCAGGCAAAGTTTATTGGTGATCCATGCATATAGGAACTGAGCTTTGGTGATAGAGCATCATGTGATCATGTAGGTGATGTTTGCACCATTCAGTGACCACTCTAAGGAATCAAGCAGCCTCGAATCCCTTTCTCAATGAAAAAAAATTACCCAAAGCTCCCACCATTTGGATTTCAATAAAAAGTTTCTTTTTTCTTTTCTTTTTGCAAAACTACCCCCCACCCCCTCGACCTGCCACCCTGCAGATCAGCACTAATTGGAGGTGACGTGAGATATATCCCTTCCTTGGTCCAAATGTCTGGAAAGGAGAGTATCTATTGTGCTTTTATGTTTATGCCTGTCCTAAATAATAAAGGAAAGGGGAGTCTGACAGCCACAACACTATTATCCCAGTGGGAATCCCTTGCAAATAAGATAGAAGATAAAGCTGTTTTTTGTGTTTTTTTAAAAAAAGGCAAGGAATAAAAAGGATAAAACAATACAAGTCTGCAAGACTTTTACTGAAAGTTTTTTTTTTTTCCTTTTTAGTATATTTAATACACTGTGAAGAAAATGCATTCTTGCTGAAGGACATTTCCTAGATCTGAAAATGAGAAATTAAATTGCTCCATGATATTTTGATCATTATCAGGTTGGAGACAGTTGCTAAGGTTTTATACTGAAATATCCATTTCCCACATAATCCCCTCTGTCCTTTCATCTCTTCAAGCAGATCTCTCCTTAGCCTTGTGGCTTCTTCTTTCAGGAAAAAAAAAGAGGGGAAGAATTTTGCATTTAGAGTTAAGCTTTAATGGAAGATTTCATCTTCTTCAGAGTTTTCAGAGGCTTCTCCTCCACCCCCACTTACATAACTGTTGGGCATCCTGTTGATGAATCTAGAGAAGAAGCAGAAAGGAGTGGAGGGGTGTGGAACGGGGAAAAAGAGTGACGAATAAAGACAGGGGTGAAGAGAAGAGGGCTATTAGAGACTGCTCTGGTTCAGTTTGTATTTTGATGCAGACTAAACTAATCCACATACCCTCAACTACTGCATGCAAGTAATACTGAGTTGAACAGAGGGCCTCCACAAGTAGAGGCCACCATGGGGACATGGTATATTACAAAACAGCTGCCATGGGCATTTGGCATAACAGAAAATGGCTGCTGCGGGGTTGCAGCATAATCTTCATAAGATGCCAAATCAATTTATTTTAAAAAAATATTTGTATTGGATTTTATATTTTCATCATTATCACAAGCATGTATAATACAAAAAACAATATCGAAATCCCCCTCCCACCCATGACTTCTCCCAACTTCATCTTCTGGTTTGTTTGTTTTTTGGTACATTTATTTCTTCTGCTTATTTTGCTATTCTTAATATTGCATTCTCTTATTGGAATTTTTAATATTCTTATCCTTCTAACCTCTTGTTCATAATTTCTATTTTATTTTTCATTGTAAGTGTTTAATCAAACCCTGCTAATGAGTCCATTTCTTTATAATAGTTTTGTAAATAACACATAAATGGTTCCCAGTCTAATTTTTTAAAGTCTCTATTGTCTTTATCTCTTAATCACCCGGTTAGTTTCACCATTTCAGCGTACTCCATCATTTTTTGTTGCTGTTCTCCTTGGTTGGTACCTCATAACTTTTCCATCTTTTGGCTAGTACAGTGGTACCTCGGGTTACATACGCTTCAGGTTACATATGCTTCAGGTTACAGACTCCGCTAACCCAGAAATAGTGCTTCAGGTTAAGAACTTTGCTTCAGGATGAGAACAGAAATCATGCTCCGGCGGCGCGGCGGCAACAGGAGGCCCCATTAGCTAAAGTGGTGCTTCAGGTTAAGAACAGTTTCGGGTTAAGAACGGACCTCCAGAACAAATTAAGTACTTACCCTGAGGTACCACTGTAGTATCCTAGCCACAGTTGTGGCATACATGAAGAATTTCTTCTTCTCTATAAGATGCCACATCTAAAAGGGCAGAGAAAGAGACGGAACCACAAAATGATGCAGGCACGATGGGGAGAAAGACACTTAGATCAGGATGTCTGAGTTTTAAGGGAACTGCTATTTATTATTCTACTACTGAAATTGAAATGGTTTTTGATCAATGGGTGCAGCACTTGTTGTTTAGGGGGGGGGCATGGAGATGAAGGAGGGCAGCTGGGATTTATTGAGGAGGGAATGCTCACCAGGTATAGGTTTTTATCCGAGCTGGGGGAAAAGAGGGCCTTAGAACATTGCCTCTCCTTTGAGGTGGGCTTTTTAAGACCCCAAAGTTCATGATTTGGCTGACTCTCCCCAGCATTTCCAGATGATTCTGGGATAAATTGAGCTAATATAAGGCTGTGTCCTCTTCTGAGAGGTTGTGCAGTTTGGGCCCAATTGAAGAAGTATATGAATAAGCACCAGAAAAGATAGGGAAGAGGTAGACCTGTTCAGGGAGGGGAGGCCACCAAGAACATATTGTCCAACTCCAACCCCTTGGAATTTGAATTGGCTAGTCCACAAATCCACTAGCTTCCTGTGTTGCTAGAGGCAATTGTGCAAGTTCTACCTCATGTACGACCTGGCCAGTACAATGTATCCTAAATCAAAGGGGAAGATTCCATGGCTTCCCTCAGCCTATTAATTGTGAGTAGATTTTTCTTCCTCCTAACTCAGTGTGAATAATTAAATGGCTCAATCACCAATGCTCATAGGAAGGACTTCTGGACGTACCGATGGCCACGCTCCATTCAATTACTTCTAGGGCGAGCTTCCTCACACTTCTACTTTATCATCATCCTTCAAGGAAGATAATGAGCATTCCCCCCCCCCCCACTTTCCCAAAGTATTTAACTTGTCAGCCTAGCATCATTACAACAGTTTTGAGGAGATCAATGGGAGCAAATTAATCTTACTGGTACAGTATAATAAGGTTCAAAGCAATTCTTGCCTTCAGAGGTTTCTCCAAATTATTCTTTTGATGTAATCGCTATTTAGGCCAGTGGCTTGAAGGGACTGATAAGGGAAAATGGTGGATTGCTCTCCCAGTGGTTTGTGCTAAATATTCCTAAATAGAAACAGCTCACTAGGTCAACAAGCATATTTTATAGCTCGGATTATACACTGATACCTTTCGTTAAATAAAAAGCACATTAAATATGACTAGTAAGAGCTAGCGCGTGCGTGCGCACACACACACACACACACACACACACACTAAGGATGTTTTCTTTCAGGATACTGCTCTTATGAGCCAAATTATTCCATGTTTCTGCCACAACATAAACCATGTACAGTTAACATAGGGAAATCACAGGGGGCTCTTCCAGATGTGCTTCTTATTGTGCATTATTCCTGACTTGTTTGCGGGGAGATTAGATGATGCTGACAGCTTAGTGAGCATTCATTCTGATTTGTTTGTAGGGAGGTTAGATGATGTGGCCTCAATGCAAGTGTTATGCCATACTTTCCAGTGCATCCCCCCTTTCTTTAACACAGTAAATCTGAACTTTGGGGGAAGACCGTTTCTTACACAAAAACCTCCCATTCTTTAGTGGATTGCACCCTGAATTTATGGGTGTGTGGTTGAAACCCACCCAAAAATAGTGGACAGTCTGGAGGTGCTCAAGATTTGGTGAGAATGGCAACTAGCTTAGTGTTGTCTCTTTTTTTATGAGACTAGGGAGAAGGACCCTAAGCAATGGTTGCGTGGCAAGACCCTCAAGCCAACCCCCATTAGCATAAAGAAATTCACACAGACACAGAATTTTTGTTTAAAGTTATTGGGCAAATTTTTTGGCCACAACTTTATTGATTACAGGAAATGAGAGAGGTATTGGCTTAGGCATTGGCAAAAGACTATCTCTGACTCCTGCCCCCTTTGCAGGAAGTCTGTAAGGGTAAACCACCCAAAGGGAAATTGCTTCAGGGGAACCCGCCTGCATCTCCCCTGGTGTTCCCAGAGGCCTGGCATGGCCCTAGCCCCTCAAGCAGACTTCAGACAAGATCCAGGCCCCAGATTCCTTTAATGAAATACCCTTGAAATGGAGGGGCAGGTGATGGCCGACCTCCCCTCCTCCACTCAACAATAAGCCAATGCCTAATCGCCAAACCTTACAAAGTTGTGACGATTGCTAAGAGGTAGGCAAAAACCAAGTGGCCTGTACCAATTCGCCAAATGGAAAAATTCCTACCCGGTCCCCAACCCAAGAAGGGCAACCAACCAAAGTCCAAAGCAAGGCCAAAGGACACTTAAATTAAAGGGAGGGTGGGCGGGTGTTTGGCAGCATGAAGCAGGTGCTTGGCACACGTCGTGCTGCTGCTTTTATACATTCCCCCACGATCACCCATTCAAATTGATTGGGCAATAGCCCTGGGTGATCATGGTGCCACCCTGCATGAAGGTGATGGCTCCACCCACGCCAGGGTGGGGGGGACCGGGTTAGGAGCCTGCCCGCAACCAGGACCATCTATTAAGATGATCCCACCTATTAGTCGTGCTATACATATAGAACTAAGGGAAGCAGAGCAAAGCATTCTGAAACCTTGATCCTATGAATGGTGTTAATCCATCAGCTCAAACTGGCTGAAACCTTACATTACCTTTGGTGGTTTCTGATTCTACTCGCCACCCACTATTTCTGCTAGGAAAGCACCTTTTAAACCTCATTCTTTCCAAATAAAGATTTCTTTAATGAAGTAGGGTTTGTTGTATGCAAAGTAGGAAAGATAAGATTGTTTCCCAAATTGACGGCCCTGTGCTCAAGCACTCGTGAAATGTTCCCGCTTTGTACCTGGTAATTCAAAGTCTCTGGAAGATCCACTCTTGGAAAAGATAAATTGGAGCTGTTTTGGTTGGGCTAATTGAAATCACCAACCTCCCAGGGATTTGCTTCTCAGCATTTCCCTAGATAAGCCAGGGTGCCACAGCTTTCCATCCACATGTCTCGCTGAAATGCCTTATCTCTTGCATATTCCAATTGTCAATGTCATTAAGGCTTTGCTCATTTCAGGAAAAAACTCATGCTGGATAAGTAAATCAAAATGCACACAAAAACCAGGCACTTTAATTACTTCTCCAGAAATGTGCCAACTTTACAAAAGAAGGCAAGGATGCTACAAGATCAACCAAGAATTGGTTTGAGAACTTTCAGGGTGAAGGGATCTCATTTGCAAAGCAAGAGCTGATACAGCAGCAGAATGACAAAGAGGGTGTGCTCTCTGCTGTGGGAAGAGTGGCTTGTTCAAATCTCTCCTCAGCCACAAAGGGAGCTCAGTGGACAACAGGGCATTGGCAGAGCACCTGCTTTGAATGCAGAAGGTCCCAGGTTCATTCCCTTGCAGGTCAAGGTTTAGCTGGGAGTATGCACCCAATCTGAAATATTGGAGAGTGGCTGCTAGTCAAGTGAAGCTTCCAATGGTCTCACTCGGTATAAGGCAACTTCCTATGTTCCCACAAGCTAGTTGAGGGTGGGGGAAGTGAGCCATTATTCTTCTCTCAGCCTCATTGCTTCCTTCCATTTTTAGAAAGAGAATAAAAATGTTGATGTACAGGCTTGCTGCAAATATTACCAAGACAATTGCTGCAAAACACTCTAAAGGTAACTGCACCAAGTTCAAAGTTCTTGTGTAGGCATACAAAGCCCTGAATAACTTGGATCCAAGATACTTTAAGGACCGCCCGACCCAATCACTGAGATCATCCAGAGGCTGATCAATCCCCAAGTTATAGAAGCCCAACAGGCCTCAGTCAGAAGTTGGGCGAATAGTGCTGCTGGTCCCATGCTGCAGAACACTCTGCAGTCAGAGATTCTGCAGGCATCCTTGCTTTTGGCTTCCAGGTGTCTCTTGAAGACTTTATTATGCCAGCAGGCCTTTGCAATTCAACATGCATGCCCAGCAGTGCTCTAGAATCTTGTAGAAGGCAAGGAGTTCTGGGTCTGCTCCAGAAATGCTAATGTCTTAGCCTTTTTCTGTTGATGTTCATGTGCTCTATTTATGTGCCTCATCACCAGAGGCCTTTCCCATGGCACACCACTTTCTGAAGCTAGGAAGGGGATGACAGCGACTGAGTGGCAGTACGGTGGTACCTCAGATTAAGAACTTAATTCGTTCTGGAGGTCCGTTCTTAACCTGAAACTGTTCTTAACGTGAGGTACCACTTTAGCTAATGGGGACTCCCACTGCCGCCGGAGCACAATTTCTGTTCTCATCCTGAAGCAATGTTCTTAACCCGAGGTAGTATTTCTGGGTTAGCAGACTCTGTAACCTGAAGTGTTTGTAACCTGAAGCGTTTGTAACTCGAGGTACCACTGTAAATGGAATAGGGGAGCAAGTACTATTAGTTTAGCCTCCCCCTGCTCCATTGTCTCCACTGTCTTTGCTGCCTTCTTTTATGGTAAATAAGGGTTCTCTCCCTCCTGTTTACAATCAGCCTTTCTGATTGGTTGCTGTCAAGCTGGCTTGCCAACCCTCCTCAGAGCCAGCTGTGCAAAACTGTGTGCCCCATGAGCCTCCATCAATCATTTCTGCTGTATACGTTTGACTTTTCCGAACAATCTGACAAGGGGAACAGGGAGGAAGAAGTGGATGAAATAAGAAGCATGGTGACAAATAAGCCTGAGTAAGTGTAGCTCTTACCTCAAGGCTGGCTAACCTTTCGGGGGGCCAGGAGCTGCATTTGTTCTTGGCAATCAGTTGGCAGCTGTATGCTTATAGCAACTGTGGCTATCCTGACACACACTCGGATATACAAGATACATGCATGTGGTTATCACCACCTTCTGGCTCTTCAGATAATCAGTCCAGTGAATGGGAAGCAGACAGCTTCCAATCCCATTGTGGGGCCGTGTTTAACTCTTTCTGCCCAGCCCCATGCTGTTGGGAAATAACTAAATGAAGACCAATTTAGTCCTGCAGTCCCATGTGTGGGGGAAACTTCAAAAGAAAAATGGCTGACTGCCCAAATTCTAAATAAACTCGGGGCTTGACTCACTTTCTAGTCAAAAGAGCCCCCAGCAGAGTTTAAAACAAAAATATGTGCAGCATTTGCAAATCACGGGAAATACAGGTTGTTAAACTTTGAAATGTCCCCACAGGAAGCGCTTACAAATGTGCTCCCCTAACTTTAACTGGATGCACCCTTCCATTGCCTGCTAGTGCAAGTAGCTTATATCCTCTTAGCACACACACCCCATAATTGTATTTCATAAATAAATAGCAATTATCATTTCCACCACGTTCTTATGAACTGCTTCCTATTCAGCAATTTTCATATTGCTGACAAATAACCATCCATCTTATTTTTGAGTGGCCAAATGCCTTTGGCCTGCCCTAACATTTGTCAGTTGACATGCTTTCTAAATGTCTAGTCAATCATTTCTCAGTTAATGTATCTCTATTCTGAAATAATTTATCAAGCAGATCAATGGTTGCAAGTCACTGTGTACCCCGACAATGGGGTGTTCTGTAGATTGTTGTTTGTTCCAATAAAGTACAAAAGAGATGGTTTTCCAGGGGACAGCAGCAGGGTAAAGATAAAACCACTCACACCTGTGCTTTCTAGGCATGGGACAAGCAGAAATGTAGATGAGCCCTAAGCTGAAGTCATTTTAACTTGGAAACAGAATGGTATGGAGTGGGCTATCAGTGGACGGGTCCTATTCTCTTGTACCATTTAGCAATGGATAGAGATGGGACCTTAATAAAGGACCTTATCTGGGCCTGGCACACAGCTAGCACCCACATTGACATGCCTTTAGAACATTTGTCATTGGGCAGGCTGGTGAAAGGTGGTCTCCTGGTGCTCAAGGTTCTTTATTGGTCCAATCTACTTAGGAAGTAAAGTCAAAGCTTAGTGATGTTGTAAAAGGGAAACGGTTGTAAGGAGTCAAACGGTATTAATATGCTCAACATGCCAACTTGTATCCTGTGTTAGCTGTTCTTTATTATGTAACTGATGGAATCTCAATGAAAAGAAAAAAGGAAGGAGGGAGGGAGGGAGGGAAGAAGGAAGGAAGGAAGGAAGGAAGGAAGGAAGGAAGGAAGGAAGGAAGGAAGGAAGGAAACTATGGGGAAAGCATAGCTTTAACTGCTAGTGAAACACACGTCCCACCACTGTATCCCAAGGTCTGATCTAGAAATGATAGATTAATAGCTGCATAACAGGATCTTGAGGCCCACAAATATATATTTTTAAAACACACACACACAAGCTGGCAAGGTATCTAGGTCCCAGCATGATCTTGATGATGAAATACAAAAACCTGCCAAGTTAAATATCAATCTATAATAATTATTTTTTAACACTCTCAATTCCCAGTAAGGTAATACAAGCGATATTCCAACTGCAAACACAATATCTATAAACATAAGTCTGTTTGCAAATCTCAGGGTGTTTTATCTTTTCAAATTACTTTGCTGAGTGACAGTAGCTATTTAAACCTGGCTAAAGGGGATTTCCCCCCACCCACCCCAGAAGGAACGTCGAGTGGGCAGTGTGCGATTTTGTACACTGTGAAGTTCCCAAGGTACTGGTTAGTTTCTTTCCTGGAAAAAAAAATACATATGTATCTTGCTACTGATCATGAAGGAGGAAGTGCCTAACTTCACTTTACAAGGGATTACTGGTCTCTGTCAACGCATGTCCGTGCCCACATGTAGGGATGAGAGAATTTGTCCATTTTAGTTTCTCTCCGTTGCTCATTTTTTTAAGTCTTAAGTTCAGTTCTCCAGAATTCCACATATTTTTTTACTTTTTACATCCCCATGAAAATTTATCAGTGAATTTCTCCTAATGTACACATCTGTATACAATTCCCCTAATATACAGAAGAACCTGCCCAGTTATTGAGCTCCCTCAATAGGTCCTTCTACCATCTACCTGCTGACCTGAGGCAGATGATGAGCAGCAATCTAATGTTTTCAAGCATAATAATAATAATAATAATAATAATAATAATTTATTATTTCTACCCCACCCATCCCCAGTCACTCTGGGCGGCTTCCAGGGAAAAAAATTTAGAAATACATTAAAGCTACTCTGGGATGGCTCCTATCTGACAGCAAGCCTTGACATTTGCTCAGGCTATAAAAGACAGAGTCCTTTAATGTTGTATCACTTTGGTCCTTTTCCCCAACCCTCCAGGACAGATTTGGGGGTGCAAAAGCGGCTGTAGAGGGAAGGGAGAATTAGTGAAAAATCACCTCTCTTGCTCTGCTGGTAGGACTCTAAGGTTGCTCCCTCTAGAGAAGTCTAGTTAGTAGGAGCCAAACCTATGACTTTTTTGTCTCCCCAAGGTCTGAGGAAAAACCTAAAACTAAACCCATAACCCTGTGGGGACATTAATCTTGTGGTTACACCAGTCATTTTTTTTAAAAAAACACAACAACAACCAAATACTCACAATTCTGGTGGAAATGAGAAATTTGTCTCTCCTACATGGATTGGCCATATGGGGCTTTTTCCTCCTCTCTGGATTGGCCATGTTGGTGATGCAACACCACCAGTGATCACCCAGCAGCCAGGATGAAATCACAACAATATGGTAGCCAATTAGATCCGTTTGCATAGGACTTCCGGGTTAGCGCCATCGGCAATGGCGGAGTTCCTCTGACCGAGAGGAACCCGCTCCGTGAAAATCGGGTCTTGCCGCCGCAGCGAAGGCGGAGACCCTCTAAAAATCCCAGGTGGAGGAAGCCTGGGAACGTGGGATTCGGCTGACACCAGGAGCGCCTCCCCTACTCGCAGGGAAACCCTTTTTCGGGGATCCGAAGCGACGTGGGGTGAGTGGCGCGGTGTTTTGAATCAACCACTACTTTTACAGCGTGAAGCTGCACAGCCGTTGCCGGAGAGCGCTGACTTTTTCCTGTGGACAATTGGACTCTAAACAAGTACCCGTGAGTAGAACGGAAAATTGGATTAAGAAACATTTTAATTTGGCACTGAAGCGGGAAGGCTGTAAACAGGAAGTCCGCCTCCCGTTTTTGTAAATAGATTGAAGCAAAAACTTTGTAAGCTAAAGTCTGGAAAGTCGTATATAAAGGTCTAAATTTCCTTCAGTTATTTCCACCAAACACCCTCGTGGAAGCAGGAGAAAAGGGGTGGGGGACTTTTGACTGTTTAAGCCTGCAGGAGAGAGAGTAAAGAAAGATAAATTTCCACCGTCTCAAACCTGGGAACGGGGTGCCAGAGACAGAAATTTATGGGGAAGTTCATCGACTGTGAATGGAACGTCTTTTGACAGATAGTAAAAAAAGAGAAACAAATTGACTCCAATGTTGCCTCTTGCATTCAAAAGAAACAAAATATTTGAAAAATGAAAGTAACAGCCCAGGAACTTGTTTTGACAGGGCAAGTGCAAGTGCAGAAGATAATGGAGGAGGTTGCTGTTGAACCTCAAGTAACACGAATGAAGAGATCCGAGGCCTTGCAGGATCATAAGCCACTGTTCTTGAAGTTTGAATCTGGAGTGGACCAGGGGGGTCTGGAGTTGTGAGGGCTCTTAATTTTGGAAGGACTTTGAAACATGCTTTTAAATACTTCCTGGATTACGTGGGACTGTGGGGAATGGGCTGATCTGCTGAGGGGAGATGGAGATATTTTTGGATTGGAGTCCTCCCGAGACCTACCCCCCAATGAGAAAGGAAAGAAATTAAGAAAAAGATCAACAAAAGACAAAGTAAAGTGCAGGTATAAACAAGAAGAAGATCTGCAGAAGGGACATGGAAAAGATTTAAGAGCCTCGGACATAAGATCACCAGGTTGATGGACTAGATGGAATGGACAAGAAGGACTGACAAAACCCGAGACCAGGAAGAAGAGACGCTGGATGAAGATTGGAAGAAAGTTTTTTTATAAATTTATTTTGTGAATTAGTGTAAAATTAACGAGTATTAGGAAAAATGTTCGAATGAAACTATTTGGCTTTAGTAGAAATGATATAAGGAGTTATGTACAAATAAGTATTAAGTTTTAAGTTTTAAGGTTTTTTATGGTAAGATAAGGTTAAATAAATTAAGGTAAATTGAATGACAGAATATAGTGAAAGATGGAAAGGATTTGTTGAGTTAATTAAAAGGTTAGATCGTTAAGATAAATTATATAACAAAAATTGAGAAAGATGGAAAGAATTTGCTGAAACAATTAATTAAATTAGAATACAAAAAGGGAGGTGTGAGGAGGTCGATGAAACAAGTAAATGAAAGATAAAGATATGGAACATTGGATGTGTGTTTTAATGTTATTGTTTTTTCTTTGCTGTATTGTTGTATTGTTTTTTATGCTTTTCCTTTTATGTACTGTAATGTATGTTTTGTCAAATTTTTTGTTGTTTTCTTTTTCTCTTTTCTTGTAATTCTTAAACTTTTAATAAATATCATTAAAAAAAAAATAGATCCATTTGCATAATGTTATCACTGTCAGAATGTGATGGCAATGTTTCTTGAATCGCATGGGTGGCCTCATGCTGCCAAGAACCATGCAGTGAGTGGTGTGATGTCACAGTGCTATAAAGCCAATAAGATATGACTTTCTTATTACTACACTGGCGATGACAGTGAAAGTGAAGTATAAGAAAAAGCAAACATTTTCACAGGTAGCAAAAGTGGGTGGTTCTGAACTGGCTCTAGCCTTGATACAGTCTTGGAAGTTTCAACCCACAGGTCTTGTCAGTTCCTCAAAAAAATATAAAAAATATGCTTATTCTACATAACACACCCTTCAACTGCTCTAACCAGTGACATTCTTCTATTTTAGCAACTTTTTATTGTGTGTAAGTTCCATTAGAGATGAAATTATGGCTATTATTCTTTACAAAAAAAGGAATCATTTCATGCTTGCTTTAAGCTGCCTCAGAGATATCACTATTCTATATTGCCACTGCAGAATTGCCTATACGTCTGTCTACCCACTGTGACCAATATTTCTGAAAACCTCATTTTTGTGTGTGTGTGATCATGTTATTTTCTGCTTTGACATTTTCTGCTACCCTTATCTGGATCAGTGTTTTCATGTCAAAATAAATCTTACAATTAAAGCGCACAGCTGGAATGCAGGACAATCGTGTCACCAACAATGAGGGTGACAATGTATAATTTACGCTCTGAGTTTTACACAAGGAAACAAATTGACACTGCGGTAATACTGAAGTGCATAAATGAGTTTCATAATTTCCCCCCCGTCAAATCCAACCATTATTATAGCCTTTGCATCTTTTCCTCACTATTTTTCCCCCAAATGAAGTTAAATACAGTTCCCCTTCTTTCATGCACTTGCTGTGAGCAGATTTTTCTTTTTCATTATCGCATTTGGCATTCAAAGTTATTCATTGGAGAACTAATCTTAAATCCATTGAAGCTGGTGGACTTGTGTTGGGGAATAGATTGTATCCTGTGGCTTCTTTTTGAATTATTCAGCTTGCCTAAGATCTTGGCTTGCCGAGCCTTTGACAAACTGGAACGTTGGTCTTCTGCTGCAACCTCAGAAGGATGAGAACTGAATGCTTGGAACTTCTGGAACATCTAAAGCAGGGAGATCAGCAAGCCAGCAGAAGTGACTGGAGAGCAAGTAGAGTGATAGTCAATGACCAACGCCACTGAGTGCAACTGGTGGGCACCAAAGGGGTGTGTGTGTGTGTGTGTGTGTCAGTCAGCATCTAGTGACCACCAGTGGACTGTTTGATGTCATTGGCCTACTTAGGAAACTGCTGCCCACTCTGCAGCCATGCACCTGGACACTGCCAACCCTGTCAATCCTGTCTCTACCACCATACAAAGCTGCTGGTGAAGGTCTGCATCCTGCCATTGAGTTGTCTTTCTCTGGTGGCTATTGTAAGGTAAAGGTAAAGGGACCCCGTGTACAGCTTCCGGGTCATGTGGCCAGCATGACTAAGCCACTTCTGGCGAACCAAAGTAGCACACGGAAATGCCGTTTACCTTCCTGCCGGACTGACTCTGGGGCTGTGGCGCTCATCTTGCTTTATTGGCCAAGGGAGCCAGTGTACAGCTTCTGGATCATGTGGCCAGCATGACTAAGCCGCTTCTGGCGAACCAAAGTAGCACACGGAAATGCCGTTTACCTTCCTGCCGGAGTGGTACCTATTTATCTACTTGCACTTTGACGTGCGTTCAGGCTGCTAGGTTGGCAGGAGCAGGAACTGAGCAACGGGAGCTCACCCCATTGCGGGGATTCAAACCGCTGACCTTCTGATTGGCAAGTCCTAGGCTCTGTGGTTTAACCCACAGCGCCACCCACGTCCCTGGTAGCTATTGTACTTTCTTTAAAAGTGAGGAACATGTCCAAGATGACAGGTCAGCTTTTACAAGGTGTGAGTGGAAAGTACGGTGAATGGTCACAGAAATCGGACAGTGAGAAATATTCAAACATAGATACCTTACAGGCCCCCTCTGATACAATGCACCATTGACAACGTTCGTAGAACTGTTGGAAACTTCTGGAGAAGTCCTTTTTTCATACTGCTTTCAGTTCCCTCATCACAGCAACTTGGACATGTGACATGTTGGAAAATCTGTGCCCTTTCAGTGCAGATTTCAGTTTTGGAAAAAGAAAAAAATCCAGTGGGGCCAGATCGAGAGAATATGGAGGTGGGACAACTCAGTAACCTCAGTAGGGATTTCACGTGGAATATGCAATTCTTCCGACGATCCTGCATCAATAACTCATGAATTCTATATTGGCCGCTGTTCTGCTCATCGATGGTCTACTAGACCAAGGGTCATCTTTGATGGTTTGCCGTCCTTCACGGAAACACTTAAATCACTCATACACTGTCTTTCGAGTTCATCTCCATACGCAATTGTAAGCATTTTGTGGGTTTCCTATGCTGATTGTATGTTCAAATATTTTTGCTGTCCAATTTATGTGACCATTCACTGAATTTTCTGGTCACACCTTGTAAGTGCCAGAGGCAATCCTGAGTCCCTGTTGAGTGCAATGGCATGATGCACACATTTTCAAGCACCTGTTTATCTGGGTGCGATTGCATGTTGCACGTCACATGGGGCTGCCATTTTAGGCAACAGCTCTGTATTAACTTGCCTGCTGCCCTTCTGTAATATCTAGTCCCCTGTGTCTTTCTCTACTCTCACTCCACATCATGGACTGCCTCTGGGACCAGAGCACGCCAGGCACTACTGTCTTTCACTGCCTCCCGCAGTTTGGTCAAACTCATGTTGGTAGCTTCGAGAACACTGCCCAACCATCTCGTCCTTTGCCAACAAAGGTCTGTATAGTTAAAGCTATGGTTTTCCCAGTAGTGATGTATGGAAGTGAGAGCTGGACCATAAAGAAGGCTGATCGCCGAAGAATTGATGCTTTTGAATTATGGTGTTGGAGGAGACTCTTGAGAGTCCCATGGACTGCAAGAAGGTCAAACCTATCCATTCTGAAGGAAATCAGCCCTGAGTTGGGAAAGATTGAGGGCACAAGGAGAAGGGGATGACAGAGGACAAGATGGTTGGACAGTGTTCTCGAAGCTACCAGCATGAGTTTGACCAAACTGCAGGAGGCAGTGGAAGACAGGAGTGCCTGGCATGCTCTGGTCCATGGGGTCACGAAGAGTTGGACACGACTAAACAACAACAACAACAAATAAACAATATTATTGCCATAAGACATATTTTTATAACTTACTATATTCTGTATAAACTCTTTCCAAATGTCAATATGTTTGTCCAAACAATGCCTGCACCTATAAGCAGTCTGTTCATATTTTGCGAGTGCTGTCATGTCATCAATCCATTGATTAAAGGGGATCATATCTTTATTCTTCCAAATCATCAATACCAGTCTTTTGGCCACCATTAGGACATGTATAATCCACTTTTGTTGTCCAGTTGTCAGCTTCCATACAATAGGTATATAATTCAGAAGAATGTTTTCCTCTGAAAAAATTTGGTTCCCCATCCTTCATATACACACCTACAAAATGCTCATTTAAATACACCCTAGCTAAAGAAGCAAGGCAAACCTTTTCTGTAATGGTTTTCAGCAACTAGGCTTTGCAACATGAACATTCATGTCAGGATTATCATCTTAATCATTCATCCATATGCATGTTATGAAAAATGACTGCCAGTTCATCGGAGGATTGCCCCAAGGGTTAAGCTGTGAGAAGAACCCCCTTGATGCTCCACACATCTATCTATTACCCTTTCGTTTCACACCCTTAAGCACCGAGTGAACTTTTGATGTGTTGCCATGCCCGCTTTGGTTTCTACATAGGTAAGAGAAGCATTTTGTTTTTCTGCGCTTTTTAACCTGTCTTACAGGTAAACTTGTATGTTGTATGTTTGGTTTTCTGAGTCAGCAGTCATGCAGATATCCTTATTTGAATAGCTCTGTTCCGACAAGGCCGAGCCAAAAGAGTGATGCATTTTGGTCAATAGCTCCCCTTGCTTGGTTGATTTTTTCATTTTGGTTCTAAAAGTGACCTGCATGTTGACCTGTTGAAAGTGACGGTGTTAATGATCCGGAAACAATTGTTCACTATCAACGAGCCTTGTTTGCTCTTCAAGGTGCCATAAGGTAGCCAATGATGGTTTGTTTTGCAGCCTTGTGGCATCATCAAAATCACCACATGGTCCCTGATCAGCAGGGATAATGTAATGAAGAAAAATAAGCCCTAACAAATGGGGTAAAAAAGAGCACCAGAACAGCAGAAGGCTGGAGGAGTTATCGCTGTGAACTGGCCATGAAAAAAGGCGAATATTCTCAGAGGCAGAAATTCAAGAGGCCCAAACCGCATCGTTGCTGCACCATGGCAACCATGGGAGAGGCTGGAGAATGAGATTATGCATGGAAACCCCTAACTAAATGCACAGAGGTTAGTGTCATAACTGTTGCTGTACCTACTTTGGCTAAAAAAATGTTTCACCCCTGGTGTATAGTGTGGTCAGAGCTTGCAAGTCTTCCTGGCTTGTGGCTTTTGAAGACATTTTTCTCCAGGCCACGAATGGAGCCCTTACCAGAAGAAACATGACAGCAGGCCTTTAGAATCTATGAGCCTCAGATATGGCAGAGGCTTGCTGGGGCTGAGGGATCAGAGAGTGCTGTTCTGTGCAATGCCCTCCAATGTTGAACTGGATGATGTTACTGTGGATGCAGCAGACATCTTGAAAGAAAGGAAGGATTAAATGAATTACAGAGCTCTCATGCAAATACGACATGTCTAGCTACTAGACCAGCTTTCAGTACTGAATTTATGTTGGAAAGGAATGAAAAGATTTCCTTGTTTCCATTAGAAAGCAATATTTCAATGTGATGTTTTCAGTTCAGAAGCCACATGGCTGCAAAGATGGACCATTTCCAGTATAGAGAGGATGTAAACAAATGGCAGATGATTAAAAAGGAAATAAATTTGACTTTCTACAAATTGTTTAAAGGAGCAAATTATCGGGCAAAGAGTATATTCATCAGACCATTTATTTATTTATTTATTTTAAAAAAGCCTTATTCCTGAAAATTAGACTTCTTTTTTTACTAACGTCTCAAAAGACAATGGAATGAAAGCTTAATTCAAGGTATAACACAGACAGACACAAGCAACCTCAAAATGGCATTACATCTGTCCTAAACTGATAACAACCAGGATGTTCAGAATAAAGGCAGGGATTGGGCTTTAATCTCCCACACTGTTCCAGAAAAGCAAGCAAACATTATTTGAAATCTGTGTCTGTTGAAAGGGTTTCCTCCTCGAAACGAACAACAGGTAACAACATATATTGGAAAAGGGCAAAAAATAAAGCCATGGAGGCAGAGGAAGGAAAGGAACAACAAGGGGTGCGTGTGACAAAATGGGCATAACATTGGTACTCAGATATGTTTATAGAATTCCTTTCCTAGGGAGGTCTGTTTCTCCCTCTAGTTCCAATGATCAGGTTATGAATGGTGTTGCTTATGAAGCCAGAACAGCACCACTCATACCCAAGAAACAGACATCAGTGTACTTGGGGAAACAGCAAAGTTTACAGAAGAATGGCAAAAATGGGGGAACCCTTGCTGGGGGGCAGAACCACTAAAAGAGCTCAGTGAGGACGAAGCATGCTCAGTGGGCATAGAATGCTGACTCAAGAGTGAAAATGGAAAATCACGGAGAGGGAATGGAATGGAATCCTGAGGATAAACACTCCAGACAGCAGCATATTGTTGCAGATCCTACATATCAATGAAAGCCAGCATGGCATAATGGTTAGAGTGTTGGACTGGGACCTGGGAGACTAGGGTTCGAATCCCCACTCATCCATGAAGCTCACTGGGTGACCTTGGGCTAGTCACCATCTCTTAGCCTAGCCTAGCTCACAGGGTTGTTGTGAGGGTGAGATGGGGAGGATAAATGTGGGGTATATATGGAACAAACCAGTGCTTTGTCCCTAAAAAAATAATAATGTTTAGGGGTACTCTCATTTTCCTACTCATATTGAAATACTGCCCCTCAATGAGGCCATACTTAGATTCACAAAATGTTTAGAGGTATGCGCACCCCTGTGTCCCCCCAGGGGAAAAAAATCACTGGAATAAACAAATAAATATCAGAGCCATTCTCCCTTGGCTTTTAGGAGACTGACAAAACCTCTCTTGGTTCCAAAGGCTCCTGAAGGAGATGGTTGAGGTCTGACCCAGCTGATGATAATGGACAGAGGTTAGGGCCAAACTACATGCTCTGAAATTAAGGCAATGCTTGTCTGTTACAAAGAAGCCATTTGCAAGGGTAAAACAGGAGGTGGCAGATGCTGTACCTATCGTCCAAGCCTCTCACTGCCTGCAGCTTTAGTCTTGCGCTGCCCTCTCCTCTCCAGCAATGTTCCCAACATGTGCTACTGGTGGAAGACCATAGAAGAAGGCACTGCAGTGTAGGCATTCTAATGTAGTCATGCTCATTGATGTCAGTGGTTTACTATGGGTAAAAGTTAGTAGACTATCACACTGTATGTTATTGTACATCTGTACTATACTTTGTAGGAGGTTTCTACTAGACCAGTGGTGGGGAATGTGTGGCTCTCCAAAAAAAATTTGGACTACAACTCCCATGCTGGTGGGGGCTGGTTGGAGTTGGAACCCAACAACATCTGACTCCCCACTGCTGTACAAAACTCATACTGCCAAGTCACTCTAGTGCTACATCTGTGAACCTTGGAAGTGTATCAACAACTTACGGAAGGTAGAGTAGACTGCCAGAGCAAAGTGCTAATGTGTGGCCTGAGAACCTGGACTTTCCTTACAGTTCCAAAGCTTGGTTGTTTTTTTATGTTGACCCTAGGCTCTCCACTAAACGTCAAAGACAACAGGATCCAGCTGGAGTTAAGTCTGTGCAATGCAGACCTTGAAGGAAGCAAAAGCTTGCAATCTGTGGACTAAAATTAGCATTCACTAGGCAGACCAGAACCATATAAATGTATATGTATGCTATAAAGAAAAGAGAACGCAGGAAGATTAAAAAAAAACTACATCCGCAGCAAAATTCATTTATGGTTAATTTTTCTTTTGAGTTCATATTGGTAGTGGAGGGAGGGAAATCTGGGTCAGGGAGTTCCACTGACTTGCAAAGAGAAGCAGCAGCCACTCTGTATAAAGGACTATAGCATTTTTAAAGAAAAAATCTGATACAAAGATATTGAAGCCAAGGATCCAAAATCTAGATGAATGTATTTTTTGGTATAAGTCAAAGTTTTATAACAACAAACTTACATTTTATTCACCACAAAATCCTTTCTTTATTGTTTGCACTTCCCATTTTTCCTCCAGTGAGAACAAAATAAGCACCTAAACATGGTGTCCCTTTCCAAATGTTTAGGCCATGTTCCTATTACCTTACCTATTTTGTTAGCCACTCTGAGCATGTCTTTGGGCAGAAAAAGTGGCCTGTACATTTTGACATAATTGATGGCCTACGACTATCCTATGAATACACAGTAAAATCTTACAATGTCATTTTGCTTTATGGCTCATTGGGAATAATTTATTATTGCCATTTATAGGTGCAACATTATTTTTCCTTGTGAAAAGCAAATCTCTCAAAACATGTCAGGTATACATATTCTAATCAGAGTTGCAATATTCAACTGAACGATCATTTAGATTAGTCCATTAAAACAATTTTTAATTGACTAAGATGTTGCTCTGGTTATTCAGATAGCAGCGTATATATATATATATATATATATATATATATATATATATATATATGCTTCTAAAAACTGAAGGTGGCAAGCACCATTGTAAAATAGGTGCCCTCCATTTTCTCATACAGATGAGTTCCTCCTCTAAGGCGCAAATAATGTATGGTTCTTACTTCAGAAATATTGTTTACCCAATATGTACATTTATGCATATTTCATTAATCGACTAAAACTCACATGATTAATCGATCAAAATTTCTGTCAACGGGATGCAGCCTTAATTTGAATGGACAGTATGTTATTCATAAGTTGTTTGGTTTTTCTTTGGAATTCTGCATCCCTTCCTCTCTCTCTCCCTCCATCAATACCTGCTTTGAAAACAGAAGATCAGCCTTCCCCATCAGTCTTTCCCAGCCTGGTACCCTTCAGAAACTTTGGACTACAGTGCCCATGTGTGCCAACCACTATGATTATGGAATCCAGCAGCAACAGATGGATCACCAGCTCCCCCTCTCCCAGTTTAAAATAATCAAATGTAATAAACATTTGGAAAGATCCCTGCCTTGGGCTTGGGTGAGAGACTGCCACTTAGAGCATGCAATGTTGTGCATAGATGGGCCAGTCTTGGCAATGGGACAATCCCCACCACTGCACCAAATGTATGTTTTAATCCAGGGATGTCCAACAGGTCGATTGCGATCTACTGGTAGATCCCCGTGAGGTTTTGGTAGATCGTGGTTGATCTCTGGCTCCCTTTCCTTAGTGTCACTAAAACTGACTCCTGCCCCAGCCCATCACCCTGCCCTCCATTGTTGTATGATTTATGGAAGGGAAGACAGAGCTTTCTTTGTGCTGCTGTTTTGATCTATAGCGATCTTTTTGTGAGTGACTTTACCCCTTTGTCCCCTGCCTTTAACCCCCCCAAAATGAAACTTTCTCCTCCCCCAAAAAAGCTGTACCACTTTGAGCTGCCCCCCCATGGGACTCTTCTCCTCCGTAAAACAAGCTCAACAACTTTGAGCTGAACCCCCCAAAAACGGGGGTAGATCACTGCCAGTTTTTAATTCTGAAAGTAGATTGCAGTCTCTTGAGAGTTGGCCACTCCTGTTCTAATCTGTTCTAAATCCAAAACTTCATCTCTTGGTTAAAATTGCCATCATCTCACATAGTCAGGCAGAGATATTGCACCAGCAAGTCTCTCCCCCCACACTCTCAGACATACCAATGTGCATTCACAAAGAGACAGATGGCATTTTCCTCCCCCCCCTTGCTATAAAAAGGTTTCAGCGGTCAGGGAGAGGTCTTGGGTTAAATGTGTTGTGGGCTGAGTAAAAAAAAAAAGAAAAAAGACCGTGGGTCTTTCAGGGGGGAGGAGTGCTTAACTGCCTCGTGCAATATTCATTTCATTTGATACAATACCTTGGGAAGGTTCTGATTTCTCCATTTCTTTCATGAATGGGTCATCCGTCTCTCCAGTTGCTGCTTCATTCACAAAGATCCTTATGCAATATTGATGTCACACTCCATAAAGGCAGGAGGAAACTTTCTTTCCTGCAAATGGCAAAAACCTTACCGTAATGTCCAGGGATGTCTGAAGCATATTTCCAAATATGCCAAAGAGGTTGACTATGTGTAACAAACAAGAAATGCTGCATTGCAGCATATTTTCTCATTATTCAACAACACCGAAAGGGGAAAGGAGACTATGATCTTGCCTTTGCCTAGCCTTGGCTCTGGGTTGGGACTCTTTGCTCTGAAGAGAACATCTAGAGCATCATCCAACATAATGGGCAGGGTTTCAAAGTCCCACATGAAGACCTGCACCCAATGGGAGGGTGAGGTTGGTTAGGAATGAAAGAATGGGTCAGACTGCCATGTTCCTCCATGTTATTCCACACACACACACACACACACACACACATTAATTTTGCCCCTCAGTGCTAAGGTCTGATTATGAGGCTTTGCACATGGAGAAGATGCCAGTGAAAGATGAAGCAGATGGTGGGCAGAGATGAGGGAGAAACTCATACAGTTTGCATTTTAATCAGAGTCGGTCTAACTCACACATCCCAAACCAACACATGAACACAGCTTATATTTTGAAGATCACACCTGTCTGATTTTTGTTGTTGCAGTACCCCAACCAAGGAATTCGCACTCAAAAGCAAACATGCACATTAGGGGGAAAGCATGTGCACAAATGGTAATAGAAGATGTGCAAAAATGTGACATAGTGAATTGAGCAGAATGGATGGCGAGAGATGGAGGGTGCCAAATTTTGGGCTTGCATGGGGAACCATTGAAATATGAAAGACCAAAGCCTGCCGCTGATGTGTTAATTAGACTTAAGCATGTTTCTTATATGAGGTCTTCTATCTTACAGGAATTTTGTAGAGTCCCTGAGGGCAACCATTGTGGTATTTTCTTTTTTATAATATTTTCTATTAATTTTAACATATAAATTATAGTACATACCACAAAACTTCGCCACTTATACAATCTTTTTTGGGGGGACTTCCATCAGCACCTCTGCTGATGCACTGTTTTGACCACTTCTTATGCATTTCTTAAATTCATATTGCCTTGAATTATCTTAACTAACCATCCTCCCCTTTATCCATTTTTGCAATAGTTCCAATAATACACCTCACAAAACTTCTTGCAAACCTACAAACGTAGTCTGATCATCACAATTACTTTTCAAATAGTCTGTAAATTTACGCCAGTCTTCTGTGAATTTCTGGTCCCACAGATTTCAAATCCTTCCTGTTAGTTTATCTAGTTCTGCATAGTCCATTAATTTCATCCTCCATTCTTCTTTTGTCGGTAATTCTTCTTGCTTCCATTTTTGTGCCAATAATATTCTTGCTGCCATCGTTGCATATAAAAACAGCTTACATTCTTTTCTGTTTATATCACTTCCTATAATGCCCAGTAAAAATGCTTCTGGTTTCGTTATGAATGTATATTTCAACATTTTTTCCATCTCATTATATATCATTTCCCAGAAGCTTATCACTTTTTTACATTCCCACCACATGTGATAAAATGTTCCTTCTTTTTCTTTACATTTCCAACATTTATTGCTAACCTTATACATTTTAGGTAATTTAACAGGTGTAATAGACCATCTATACATCATTTTCATCACATTTTCTTTTAAGGCATTGCATGCAGTAAACTTTAAACCCTCTTTCCATAATTTTTCCCAATCACTCAGCTGTATATTATACCCAAAATCTATAGCCCAATGAATCATAACCGACTTTACCTCCTCATCCTTCACCATTGTGATATTTGCATCACAGTGGAGCCTAGTGCATTGGAACAAATGGGGCATTCAGCCTGCCTTCATTCACCCCCTCTCTCCAATCTGCCTGCTTGTCTTCTTACAACTAGCCCGGGGCACTGCCTGGCAGCTTCCTTCTCCTTGGAGTCTCAATGTTGCCCTTGAAGGGAGGAGGAGAACAAAGCTTGGATCAACTGACTCTGCCTGCCATTGGCTCTGGCTCCACTCCACCTGTCTGCCACTGTTGACGTGTCTATCAGTTCTAATGGGCACCAGCCACCACCGTGGCATCACATACATCTCGGCCATATTTATTTCCTGCAGCTTAGCTCTGCTTCAGAACTACATGATCCTTGCACAGACCCTCTCCCTGTGCGTGAGCATCTCATTACAATTTCCACATAGGCATGCACTGTATGCCAGTTTTAAAAATGGATGGAAGCGTTCCTCTGGGGCCAGTAGTGGGAGATGTTCCTTTTAGAACATTAGCTACTCTGTATGGCTAAAGTTAATGAGCCACTTTATGTCAGGCTCCCAAAGCCATTTATGCATGTAGCCTTTCAATTAGCTTTGTTGATGAATCAATTAATACAGTTCAAGCCTTTTAGAATATTGTGAGTGTGAAAGCAGGGCTTTTTATTCTTTAGTCACCAGGAAAATGTAGCATTTCAACTTTACAAACTGCTCTGAGTAGAACTAAGCCAAGGATATTAATTTATTCACGATTGCTGAAAACTGTCTTTGCTTCCTCCCTTTCCTTACTTACTGGTCAATCTGAAATGTTCACCAGAGCTACCGTGCATTGTGGAAATAAATAAATAATAATAATAATAATAATAATAATAATAATACCTGAAGGAGCGTCTCCACCCCCATTGTTCTACCCGAACACTGAGGTCTGGCACTGAGGGCCTTCTGGCAGTTCCCTCCCTGCAAGAAGCAAAGCTCCAGAGAACCAGGAAGAGGGCCTTCTCGGTAGTGGCACCCGCCCTGTGAAGCGCCCTCCCACCAGTTGTCTAAGAGAACAACAACTACCAGACTTTTAGAATACATCTGAAGGCAGCCCTGTTTAGGGAAGTTTTTAATGTTTGATGGACTACTGTATTTTAATATTTTGTTGGAAGCCACCCAGAGTGGCTGTGGAAACCCAGCCAGATGGGTGGGGTATAAATAAGTAGTAGTTGTTGTTGTTGTTGTTGTTGTACATCGCCCATCTGACTGTGTTGCCCCAGCCACTCTGGACCGCTTCCAGCATATACAGAAACATAATAAAACATCAATCATTAAAAACATCCCTATACAGGGCTGCCTTCAGATGCCTTCTAAAGGTTGCATAGTTACTTATCTCCTTGACATATGATGGGAGGGTGTTCCACAGGGTGGGCACGATTACTGAGAAGGCACTCTTCCTGGTTCCCTATAACCTCACTTCTCTCAGTGTATGACAAAATGATGTATGACAAAAAACAAAGAATGTCATTTGCCGTCAATCAGTCCATGTGATGTAAGTGCTAAAGCTCACTAATATTCTGCAATGTTTCCTGTGTGTAAAGCAACAGCAGACCATGTACTTCATTTTACCTTATTTGGTTGCATAAGCCCCTGTGAATACATTGCCTGCCATAAATAGTGCTGCCAAAAACCCCACACACATCTCCTGTATTTTTTTTTAACATTTTTTTACTGCTTTTTTGTAATTGTGTAAATTTTGCATGCTGTATGTTTTAATAATTTTTAAAAAACACACAACAACAAGAAAAACAACAACAATGCATGCCCCTCAATTAATGAGAAAAGAAATTGCATTCAAACACATTTAAGGTTTGGAAGAATTGGCAAGAATGCCTTTCCCCAACTGGCTCACCATTATTCCCACTTGGTCATAAATTGACTACAATCAACTATCAACTTTGTCACATATTGGCAGCTAAGTTACTTAAAGCACAGGCAAAAGGATTTCTGATTAATTTGAGTCCATTGCATCACAAAGGCAAAGAACTGGTCTCTATTATTTACAGACTGGTCCCTTCATGGGTCTTAAATCTTCTTGGGAGAGGAATCTCAGGGGAAATCACTGTGTGGTCAGCTAAGCCTGACAAATCTGTTTCATCACATGTGAGAGAATTTTCCCTCAGAATTCTGCATAGATGGCATCGTATACCTGGGCAGATGTCTCATGTCACATCACAGTCAGAACAGAATTGCTAGCGGGGCTGTGGGCTCTGGGGGACATTTTTCCATCGTTCTGGTCTCAAGTCTATTAAGAAATATATGAAATAATTAGATGACCTGTTTAGGCTTCTCTGCAACCACCTTACAATGATAAAGGAAGCTCAAACTCTAACAACCCTAAATAAATTATAAAGGACACGGGCGGGGGGGGAATGAAACCTCTTTCATAGGGGAAGAAAACTTTTGAGAAACTGGAGGAGAGATTTCAGTGTGGCACTAGTCATAATGTACTTGATATGGAATATCACAGAGGGTGGAAACTCTCTTGCACTACCATGAGAAGGGTTATCCTTAATGATGTGCCAAAAACATTTGAATGAAAATCATTTTAAATAGGAACATGCTTTAATTCAGCAATCGGTTCTCATCCCACCAGGCTTTTCAGAGATTGATGAAGAGCTGCAGATATAATTTTAAAAGGGCTGCTTTCTGTTAAAAAGAAGAAGTGATGTTGGAATGTCAGAGTAATTATTCAGCCTAAAATAACAGGGTGACATAGTCTTCATAAATTACTTAGCTCACCTGCAATAGCAGGCTGCCAAAGTTCTAATTCTCACTACTTAAGTGCTTCAGAATATTTTTTGCTTCTGTCCTCCGGAGACAGTTGTAGATGGATTTTACCTTTGAGGAAGGTCATATGTCTATTAGAAAACAGAACTCTGTGCTTTTATTTTTTATTTTTAAGGGTACATCTCGCTCTTCTTTTGTACCCTTCCCCTGCTACTAGATCAAGTCTCTCCTTGCCAAAACACCATGACAAGTGTAAACTTCCTGTCCCTTGAAACAGTTTGCCATGCGTCCAGAGCAAACCTCAGAAGAGTCGCTGCTGAAAGAACCGACAATCCAAAGTGACAACTTGCACTTGCCTGCAGGAACTCAATCATGTTAGGGTGTTTTTAACATGGAGGCTAATGTGTGCTGCCATTGGACTGTATGTAATAAGCAGAGATTAGAAGATGCAGGAATGTCCTTGAGGCAGCAACTGAATTGGCCTCTTTGCAGAATGCCATGCAGGGTAAAATGTCGGCAGCTGAAGTAACAGGCCTCCTCTGTATCAACACTCTGCCAAATAAGTGAGGCTGGCAATGGGTGACTTAGATCCAGATGTTCATTGAGATGCAGATGTGCATCTGGATGGACATTCATATGCAATCTGTGATCCCACAGGGACACAAATGTATTTATTTTAAGAATGTCTACATTGCCCAATGTGATTCACAAATCTACCTGCCTACCTACTTGGAGTCAGGCTTTGGGGAATCGGCTCCTCCCCCGTGGTCATAAATGAGCAGATCAAATGAAAGGAATTCTTACCGGTTAGTTTCTTTAATAAACACAGTGAAGGACAAAATAAAGTGTCCACCCAGAATGGTAGCGCTCCCAATTAAGCTTACACCCACTCCGTCCCTTTTAATCTGCTCACTCCTACATTTTGTACCCTCTGTGCTTTCCGTTCTGAAACTTTCTGAGCTTCTCGTGACCTTGGGGAGATCGGAGGAATGCTCTCCAGTGACTGTGAATCTGTTAACCCTCTCTCTTCCAGTGTCACTTCTCCTAGCTGTTCCCCATCCAGTATTTCCCAGCTTCTGCCTTCTGAACTATGCCCCTCTGCAAACCACTGTTCCAAATCTATACTGTCCTCCTGCTCCTGGGAAGATTCAGGACCAGGAGCAGGACCAGGGGGAGGGGGATGGCTCCCACCATTCCTCCTCAGTGCAGTCCTCCTCAGCACAGTCCCTGACACTTGGACTTTGCACAGTAATTCATATGCAAAGGATATAGAATGGGCAGCATGCAGTAATTCAAGTATGCAAAGGGATTTTCCCAGTGATGCTATCTGTTGCAGTCCCTCATAGCCACTGAAAAGACACTCAGAAGGGTCAGAGGAACCCCTGGAGAAGGAAACAATGCCATACAGAGAGACACAATAAATAGGAAATCAGCCATTCCCCTGATAGATGAGCATAGGACTCAGGATGGGAAATAGCATGCTAATTATCCTTCCCCATCCCTAGCCACCAGACCCAGCTCTGAATGAAAGCATCTTACACAATGCCTGGAAACTCACCCAGAATATACCCAGAGGGGAGTATTTCGGATTGAAGAATGAAACTCAAATGTAGCGCAATGTAAAGGTTGTATCCAACTGTGTCCCTCTGCTGGCAGAAGGCTCTTTGATCCAGGAGAAGTTTGCATGAGTGGAAGAGCGGGTAGGTGATTCTCAGTCATTCCCCACACACCCTCCCTCTCAAATCTCAAATTAAGAGTTGGAAAGCATTTCTTTTAACCAGCCAATGCACTCATCTCCTGTACTCTGCCAGTACAAAGTAACACAAATATCCCATAAGATGAGAAAGTTCGTACCACCCACCCTTTATTGGAAGGGGGGAGAAATAATTATGTATATAGGCCTCCACATGGAAAGCTTGTTGCTACACAATGCATTTTCAGCAGGGTGGAGTCACATTCTATAACACGTGCTACAATGGTGCAGAGATGCAAACATAAGAAACACTGTCCTCCTTGAAAGCTGTATTGTTGTATAGTAAGGTCTCTTGCATCTATGCAGCATAACAAAAAACCATCAATGCTAAAGACCCTCCAAACATTTCCTCAAAATTCTACCTTGAAAATTTTGATAAAAAATGTTATTCAAATGTTCTATGGGTGTTTAAAATAATGTTTGTAAAACAAAAACAGAAAACAGAAGCCTTTCTCATGGGAATTATAAGGATAGAACTCCCAAAACTCTATAGAAATTTATTCATCTATGCGACCACAGAGACAAGAATGTTACTTGCCCCAAAATGGAAAGAAGAAGAAGAAGAAGTCCCAGCAAAGGAAGAATGGATACAAAAAAATATGGAATATGCAGAAATGGCGAAACTTACCGGAAGAATAAGGAATCACGATAACAAACTTTTTATAAAAGAATGGAAATGCTTTATTGAATATTTACAGACAAATTGTAAACAGATAAAAACACTGGCAGGATTGTTGTAATAACCTTCAGTTGCATGAGAGTATATATGTAAAGAAGATAAATAAATGAGTAAGATAAGTTAATTTGGAGATGCAGAAGATATTAAAAATTAATTTAAGGAACCGCAGAAAGGGGGGGAAGGAAGTCAAGTTTTAAAATGTCAAAATGACTGTAAAATCAATGAAATGTATATATCTGAAAAGAATAAATAGAATTAGGGGAAAAAACAAAAAACAAATGTCCTATGGATGTAAGAATAGTGGGTAGATATTTGATATATTCCACATCAGTACTTTGCTGTAGCAGTCGACACTGAAAGGAACCTGAAGAACCATAATGGAGTCAACAGATAGTATTGAACAGTCCCCAACATTTAGCAGCCAACATTTGACAGTATCTGATAACTGACAGACAGCAGCAGTCAGTATTCAACAATATCTCCTATGTAGTGTTCAACTATTTGACACTACTTGATAGCTGACACACACAGTAGCTATTAGAATTTGACAGTATCTGATGCGTATCTTGAGAGGTTTCTCATATGTTTCTTTTATTGTGTCTTTAAGAAACACGAAGATGATATTGTATACCCTGCCCTCATTGGACCTTTCTTCCAAGTAAGTGCCCTTAAGGTCATGTGCATGTTGTCATCAGTTTTGAAAAGCCCAGGGGATGACCAAAACAATAAATATCTCATACGCAAGTTGTGTGTGCTCTGCACTATAACAATTCAAAAGGTGAATTATTCGATGCATGCATGTTGTGTAAATCAAGGAAATGCTTTGCTCTCAGTTTGTGCAACTTATTTTGTTATTTTTACTATTTTGCTGATAGGCATGTGGAAAGGGAACATGGACTTATACAAGGCAGTGAAGCCTTGCCTTCAGGCCACAGGAAATTTTATTATCAATTGAACTGAGATTTGAGATTCAGCAAGTGCTGTCCCTACACTTTCATGGATATCTTCACAGATCTTCAAAAATCTGAATATTTAAAAAGCAATAAACAAGCACAAGCACCTGGGATTCTTAGGGAATGGGATTTTGTGGCAAGTAGCAAGCTTGGAGAATTGTGTGCCAGACATGCAGCCCTGAGTATATTGCTCATGCAGCTACTGGATTTGCATGAGCAAAACTAAGCCTGTGCCAATATGTTTCACTTTTAGACCATTTATGAGGGAGAAGAGGCAAAAAGAAAATACCATTGCTGTTGGGGAGGAAATTTCAGGGGGTGCACAGATTTCACATTTACCTTAAGTCTCCGTAACATTATGATGTAACTAAGTTTTGTGTGTCTGCATTCTTGTCTGAATTTTAAAAACAATTATTGTGCTGTATTCTGCAGCCTTCCTGGCTGCCAGCATTTCCCGCAAGCATTTGAGAGGGCCACAAAGTGTAGACAGCCCAGGAGGCTGCCTGTGGAGGGGCCTAAGAGCAACACATTTTTTAAAAAATAAAAAAGGTAAAAGGAATTCCTTTCAATTTGGTTTTAACCTTTGTCACCAGATATAAGGCACTCCACAGACAGCCTCCAGGGTTGTCTGCACTTTGAGGTCCTCTCTTCTCAGGGGCTTTCAGGAAGCTATGAGGTCTAGAAGGCAGCCATATTTTAAGCAGGAACACATGCAAACGCAATCGATGGCTACCTCATAATGCCTCGAAGCCTCGAAGCCTCGAAGCCAGCTTTAAAAACAAAGTTCCCTCCCCCTCTTTCACTGAATAAGGAAGATAATAACTGCATCTTTTGCAGGGGGAGAGGGAAGACACTAAGCAGAAAGATGCACTATAAGTGAGAGTTCTGCCTGAAACCAAATATGAAGCACCACCTTTTAAGAATGCATTAACTTTTCATTTTGAAGACAGGTTTTGGAAGTGTGTCAGGTAAGAGTTTTCCCGAAGTGAAAATGCTACAAAGAGGTGATAGTGGCACAGACAAGGATACCTTGTTGGAGTGACATATTCCT